CATTTTTCTCATTTGATCCTGATCTTGCCTCTGTGACACTGGCTGGGTACTGCACTATGTCTTTAGTATCTATGCATTCATCCACCCACCCTAGAAGTTTGTTTAAAGCAAAGGCTATTTCCTGCAAGGTGCTCAACTGCTGCTAACAAACGCCCTACTGCTATATGATCAGACCTGGCAAACGTACAAATGCACCGGGGCCAGCCCATTCTGTTGCCTAAAACAAGTTGGCCCCTCATATTTTGCATACAGAATCTGATGACAGGAGTAAGCCAGCAGTAAGTTACACCAAGCAAGTTGGAGTTAATTATTAGTAAAAACAGGATCTGCACAGGAGTGTCAGGCCTAATGAGCAAAGCAACTCATCTCTGGTATGTCTTGTCCCCATGAAGCAGTTGCTGAGACTGAAGGTCCCTGACTCCTCACAGCTGCCTAAGTCCCCTCCTCTAAATTCTCCCCTGCCCTTTTCATGCCTCTCCTAGTTTTGGGAGACCACAGGGGAGGAGAACTTATCACAGCAGGAGTCTTCCCCAATCAGACTCATGTCTGCCTCTGGGCCTCCCGCTTGATTTGGACATTTCTTCACCACAGACTCTCTAAGCTCACTAAGGCCTGTTCCCTCCTCAGCTTCCGAAACCTCCTCTTCCCAGTCTTCTCCGTCTGGCCACCCATCATTGTGCCACCACCAATCCCTGGGCTCTGAGCCTTCTTCCCTTGGGGGTTCCCCAGCTGCTTCCTCCCACCATTCCTCTGCGACCAACCAGTCCATAACATCTGATCACAATGTCAGCTGAGTCTTACTTCTGGCAATGAGACATCACAGTTCAGTGCAACAGACAAAAGGGTGTAAGTCGTGTGGCCTTAACAGCTCTCCCCTAACACAGAATCATAGAATTGTAGAGTTGGAAGGGACCCCAGGGTCATCTAGTCCAACCCACTGCAATGCAGTAATCTCAGCTAAAGCACTCACAACAGGTTGCCACCCAACCTCTGCTTAAAAACCTCCAAGGAAGGTTTTTCTCACTGCTGCCCCTCATCCACCTCACTCTGCCTAATGGCCCTGCGTAGGGCATTTCTTTGTAAACACGCAAAAAAGAGGGTTTGCCTTTTCCTCCTTAACTTTCAGTGATAATTAAGCATTTGAATAATGTGTGGCGGTCACAAACAGTTCACCGGCACATTTTTTAAAAGGTTTGTTAATCTCTACTCCTCTACATAGCTATATATACACATTGTTGTTATGTATTTTAATTTAGGAAATGACATCCCTTTGTATAAATAATTCCGAAAAGCTGGGGAAGAGTGTTTCTGAATGCAAGGATATTTTCTCTTCCTCTGTTATTTTAACGGGACGCATGCCAACCTTTTTGTGAATTATGAATGCAGAAGGCTCCTTTCCAAATGAAGTTGCTGGATGCCTGCCATCCGAATGAGGCATTTGCCTGACAGAATGCCAGCACATTTTTTGTTGTTGTTTAAGTCAAAACTGAATGATTAAATCGCTTTTTCCATCAAAGGGAAAATTCCATGGAAGAAAAAAGAGGGAAGCAACCACAGGAGCTGGTGCTCAAGAAAACGACCTGTAGCAGCGCCTAAAATGTTGTCTTCTGTCGTAACTGAAAGAGTTTTTTAAAAACCCAGGCAGATTACAATAAAATATCAAAATAGCAATTGCTAACCCAGAGATAGGCATAGAAATATGCAAAAAAATAAATAAATCCTCAAAGTACATATAGTTAAACTTTACATAGGTAGGTAGGACGCTGCCATATACCAGATCAGACCCAAACAGGCCGAGCACAAAAAGAGCTTTTAAGCTATTTAGCCAGCCTTGGAGACTGGGATGTTCTCACTGCATCTTGTAGGGCCATCTGAGTCCCTGCAAGCATCTGTAGCCTTTCAGAACCAGTGCACCGAACAGGCCTTGCCCACCCAAACAAGGGGGAGATCTTGAAAGTGCTTACCATGCCAGGAAAACTCAGTGCAAAAGGAGCTTTTAAGCTTTCTGCCTTTCTTGCATTTACCTCGCAGAATTTCAACCAGCCGGCCTTCAACCGCATATGTTAAATGTGTGTAAGATGCAATTGTACTGTGCAGTCTAAGAAAAGGAGGGGTTTAAAAGTAACAGGATGGTGCACAATCACAGGGAAACAAGCAGAGAGTGTAAGGAGGAATGCACAGTGGCTGCAGACTACTCAGTGTGCACATGTGGTTGTACTTGAAAAGTCAGAGCAATCATGTAATAGACTCTAGTTTCCCCTCACTGTATTGATATTCAAAATGCTGCCATGGTCCATGCGGAGAATGGCACATCTTAGAATGGCACATTTATTTTTAGCATGGAAAAGAGACATATTGGCGGATCAATTCAGCAGAGACATGCAACACAAATGGTCTTAAATAATACAGTAACGATCAAATGCTTTCCCTGGAGAGCAATACCTCAAATGTATCCCTGATGCCTATAATTTCTTTATGTTCTGGTTTTTTGTGGAGGTATCTTTACCCAGTTCTTCAGCAGACAAAAAACCTCTTATAGAGGAGCTTAGAAATATGAACAGTAAGACAATCCCTGCTCTCAGGCTCACAATATAAAATACATGACAGAAAAGGGAAGGACACTGGGAAGGATGAGGAAAAAGCAAACTCAGGCATTAGTTCTCCATTACAGAATTTTTGCTAATAGGAATTCAAGAAGAGGAGGAGCCAAAACCTGCCAGTCTCTCAGCCCAGCCAATAGGTAGACCCAGCAGAACCATCTCTCATTTTGCTGTAGCTTGGTGGAATGGCTTCTGGTAGATGACTATTGAGGGAGGAGCTGATACATAGGATGTTGTTTACATACGCATTTATTTAAAGCATTTTACCCTGCTATTTAGCCGTTAAAGAGCAGTTTACAAATATCAATCATAAGAAGAAGATAAAAATATTTATTTGTGTCAGCCACAAGCCATAGCAAAGGAATCAAATACAGTAAAATGCAAATATAGCTGGGTGGTTGGCTATACAAAATGAATCAATAATAAGTTGAAGCCAGCGCCCTGGGGAAAAAAAACATATCAAATCATATCATTCTTTCCCCAAGACCTGATGATGCTGTTGAAGACCTACTTACCAAGACAGTTTTGTTCTTTCTCTCTGCTGCCCTGCTTGCCTCTCTTTGCCATCCTATGGGCACAAGCCCTGTCCCTCATCTCAGTAAGCCACCCTTTGTGCCTGGTACGGGTCAGGGCAGAGGGTAGCAATGAAGAAATTTTCCTGTTTTCTTCCAAGGGTCAATTGCCAGCAGTGGGCGGAGCAATGAATATAAATTGTACCTTTATATACTGTAAGTTAGCCTCTCTATACCCTCTCTAACTTCCACCCAGGAAAGCAAGAGGCATGAGCACAGTTCAAGGACCAGGGGTCCCAACTTGAATACTAATAATTTTTAAAATATTTTAAAAATTTATATCCTGCCCTGGGTTGCCCCAGCCACTCTGGGCAGCTTCCAACACACAAAAAAGCATAACGTAACATCAAACATTAAAAACTTCCTGAAAAATAATAATTGGGGGAGCGCCATGTGAGCCCCACCCCGCATAGTCAATTACATGACATGGTGCACACAATGCCCGTCAACTTTGTGGGGGAGGCAGCCACCTCAAACATTTTATTGGGGAGGCTGAAGGGACCTCCACCCCTAGGAGTTGACTCCTATATCAAGGACACATTTCAGCCAGCTCAAAAATCTCAAGGATGTTAAGCAGGACAAGTGAGGGGTGTGACTTGGGGAGAGTTATGAGGGCCACGACAAGAGAGGTTTGGAGGGCCACATCCAGCCCTCAGAGCCTGAGGTTCCCCACCACTGGATAGGGGCAGTGGGAAAGATTGTACATTTTGTGCCTGGTATGGTCGGATGGTGGTGTCTGGTGCACAAACAGCCTGGCCGTACCGCAGCTCACCCCCTCCTCCTAGCCAGGTGGCAAAGGGCCAGGTGACTATAGGGGGCCCTGCCTGGAGTGGAGCGGAGCAGTAACTTCTCATTCTGCACCTGAGCTGTACATTCTCGCTAATCCCAGGGATGACACAAAAGTGCCCTTTGTAATGTTCATGGCCTCATCTTACTAATGTAACATATCCCTGTCTGCCAATATTGTAAACTTTCAACAAGGAGACATTGACAATTCTATCTGCATAAGTGCTAATCCACTTCAGTGCCATTCATTTTTGGGAAGCAGCCGGTGGGGGTGGGAAAGGAGGAAATAATAAAGCGGTGATTTTGTTGCTGGTGTCAATTGCTTCTTTCAACCAGCCTGCAATGATAAACATGCTTCATAATTTAAGTGACAGTCAAATGCCAGCCAAAGTCATTCTGCCTCTTATTTTTAAATATTCTTTTGCATTTTTGCTTGTGATTTGATTTCTTCTGTTTGATATGGAAGTAAAATGTGTGGCATCCAAAAGATGCAGGCAAATGCTTTGAAGAGTCTCTGCTGTGACATCTAAGTAAAGAAAAGAGAATTTGCAATGCAAATTAACTGGCTTTTGCTATGCTTGGAAATAATCTATATACAATGTTGCATCTTTGGATCAGCCCTGCAACTTTCTAAAGGGCTAAAGGCAGCTTCTCTCCTGAGGTGCCTATTATCATTTTTAAAAAATACTATGAAGTTTCTAACGACACATACAGCATCACATCTAGTTTTGACCCTTAAGCTGCAGAGCATAACCTTATGTATGTTGAACCAAAATTAAAACCAGAAAAGTAACTCAAAAGTGACTCAAGCTTATCAGAACATCACTTTATGATTCGCTTTAAACTGAGCCAACCTGTTGAAAAGTCCAGCCCAATGTATCTTTAGTCACAAATGCAAGTTTCACCTTTCCCTTTCTCTCATAGGCTTCTGTGACAGCAAAACCGTACAGATTTACTCCATTCAAAAGCATTTGAGCAATGAATTTGAAATCTACTTTCATCGGGCGACAGCCTCAGTTTGAATTGTTTCCAGTCTCTAGATATTTGAGCTTCCTTGTTTAAAAAACATGTGAGGAGTTCTATTCTTAGCGACACTTGCCTGTTCCAAAGATGTCAACAATGGTCTAATGACTTCCTGGGCAGGCCACACATCCCAGGCCAAGACCAATTACTGGAACATACCCTCCAACATTTCTCCGTTGAAATAGGGACGTCCCATTCCATAATGATAATTTTACTATTTATACCCCACACATCCTACTGAGTTGCCCCAGCCACTCTGGGCAGCTTCTAACATATATAAAAACATAATAAAACATTTTAAAACTTCCCTATACAGGGAGTGGTTAGATAACTCCATACCCTCCAACATTTCTCCAATGAAAATAGGAACATCCTACCATACCATCCAACATTCCTCCAATGAAAATAGAGACATCCTAAGCAAAAGTGGGACATTCCAGGATCAAATCAGAAACTGGGATGGCTCCTCTAAGTCAGGGACCTCCCTGGAAAATAGGGAGACTTGGAGGATCTGCTGGAAGGAGGAGCGGCATTGTTTGGCTTGAGCGTGATGCAGCTCAGGCAGGCAGCTTGCCAACATCTGTAGCCTAAACAGAGCAGAGCAAGCAAGTTGCAAGCAGCGAACAGAGAAGGCAACAGAGGAGCATTCTGCTCATGGCTCCCGAAGCAAAACAAAACTGCAAGTATGTCACATTTCCAAAAGTTTTTGGGTCTCATCTATCTATCTTGGGAGACAATTGAAGAATGTGCCTTCGGGGGTGAAGTCAAACCATTGAAGAGTTACAGTGCCTGTTGTGGCTGTAGAGACTGATATGGGAGAGACATGTTTTGTTTGCTTTCCAAAAGTAATAAAATAAAATAAAATATTGGGATAAATTTGGCCATTTAACAAAAAATATTGTCACAAGTAGAGATTTGCTTCAGTATGTCCAATCCTTACAAAAGTTGCTGAATGGTTTTAGGATTAAGTGTTGATTTATGACCTTTCCCCAGAAAAACGACTCTCCCTGCCCAAATAAATCCTACTGATAGTTGTATCATAAAATGTTATTCATCCCCTTTCCACTGCTTTTTGCCTGCCTCTGAAATACATTGAAATGCCTACTGTGAAACTTGTAAATGCATCAAGAAACAAAGCAGCAGGTCTAAAATAAGAAATCTCATAAATTATTGTGGAGCTGGTTCAGCTCCCTCCAGCTAAATCAACAATTGCACTTTAGCTGTACTTGGCTCTTGGTGAAAGAAAATAAGCATTCAACATCTCCATATGAGGTCACACATCCCATGGATCAAAATGCAACTTTAGCTGGACTGGTCCATAAGCTATAACACCCCTCCTCTGTTATAGCATGAGATTCCTGTATGTACCTAGGGAACTCTATCACTAGATCTCAGCCAATGGCTTTTTACTCAGGGGGTGTTCACACTAATGCCACCTCCACATCCAGTGCTAGTTTTTGAAACTACAGTCACATGTTAGCCACAATCCATATTCATCCTGTATTGCTGTCTGATGCATTTTTCCCCCTCAAACCAACTTCAGTCCGACCAGAAAACTGGATGTGGATAAGCAGTAATGTGGACATAACTAACAGCCACCATACTTGGGCAAATGAGAACACACGCACAGATAACAGCTTCATGAAGAGTTTGTGGTGGGGAGGAGGAACCAAAACATCATGCGCATTGGGTGGAAACTTCCTCACCTTCTTTCTGATGTGAACAAACTGTGAATGCAGTTTGAAAGGCTAATGTGTATATATCCTAATAATCTCTGGAACAGATTTCAGATTTCATGGGGGAGTCTTCAATGGGGCAAAAGGAATCACCACAAACTGTCACCTTCCTCGTTTTCCTGATGGACGTTGAACATCACCCCAAGATTCCATAAATATCCTGAAATGTAATTATTAAATGAAAAATAGAAAAGACTGACCGGGTGTACTGGCTTGACATGATATAAGCTTGCTCTGGAGCATCTGTTGTATCACGCTCAGAGAAAGGATCCTGTGGCTGATTAACCCATGTTTCTACTTCCCCTGGCAATGAATTGATTGTTTCCTTAGTACAGGGATGTCCAGCAGGTCAATCGTGATCTACTGGTAGATCCCTGTGAGGTTTTGGTAGATATCTGGCTCCCTTTCCTTGTTGTTGTTGTTTAGTCATTTAGTCATGTCCGACTCTTCATGACCCCATGGACCAGAGCACGCCAGGCACTCATGGATCACTGCCTTGCCGTGGCGAAGGGGCTTGAATAACTCAGAGGAGCTATGAACTATGCCAAGCAGGGCACCCAGGTCATAGTGGAGAGTTTTGACCAAACGTGATCCACCTGGAGCAGGAACCGGCAAGCCACTCTAGTATCCCTGCCAAGATAACTCCCTTTCCTTAGCATTGCTAAAACTGACTCTTGCCCTGCCCTCTTGCCCCACCCTCCATTGTTGTATGATCTCTGGAAGACAGGGCTTTCTCTGTGCTGCTGTTTTGATCCATAGCAATCTTTTTGTGAGTGACTTTACCCTTTTTCCCCATGCCTTTAACCCCCCCAAAAAATAAATCACCCCAAAAGCTTATTTTTAACCCCTAAAAAACCGGGGTTCTACTCCTCCCTTAAAAAAAAGCTCAGAAACTTTGAGCTGAAACCCCCCCCAAAAAAAACAGGGGTAGATCACTGCCAGTTTATAATTCTGAAAGTAGATCGCAGTCTCTTGAGAGATGGCCACCCCTGCCTTAGTATAATGACTGCTTCAATTCTCCACTGGTTAAATGCAAAGCATTACGTCAGAGGATTTTGGGAATATTATTTCTTATGTGGTGGTTCTTGCTGCAGCAGAAGCCATATAAGAAAACAGTTATGTGTAGCTTGGAATGACTAATTATTCAAAGGCGATCTTGTTCTTTATAGGTGGAAAGCTGATCCAACTACTGCGCCACGTTGATGGAGGTTCTCCCCATGATCTGAATTATTTCATAGAGAAGGTATTCAGACTATGTTACCAGTAGAGAACTCAGCCTTATTAGGCTGAGACAGGCTTCTCAGAGGCTACATTTTTCCACATTCCAAGAAAGATTGTGGATAATCCTTAAGCAGCCAAAAATTACCTTTTATGCAAAGCTAAGCTATAAAATACACATTTTTTCTTAAAAAAAAATAATCCAAATGACATAACCTATTAAGAGAAATGTATCACAACATTGCACAGATGTCAGAGTGGCGACTGTGAGATTTTTGCCTTGCTCTGGCATGTGTGACACAACATGCTTCTTTAAACCATCTGGTTGTAGCTTTCTAAAATTATCCCATGGCCTGGTGCAGTGGTAACTGAGATAAACTGCTGAGTGGTGTGTCAGCGTTGGCCCATGTTTCCTTACAGTACTGTGTGTGAGCAGAAGTGTGGTGAATGTTGACATTTACCAGTAATTCTGAATAATTTCAGAGGTCAATGTCAGAACTCTATGGAAGACTATAGTGCAAGCATGGGGATCCTTTGGCCCTCCAGATGTTCCTGAACTACAACTCCCATCAGGGGTGGTGGGAACTGTAGTTCAACAACATCTAGAGGGTGTGAAGTTTCCTATATATATTTGCTCAAGTGAAGATTGAGGCTGACTAAGTGGCTACAATAAATGTCCAAAAATTATTCACATTTCCCTCATTGACTGCGAATTGGCATTTACTGTGCCATGAACAATAATAATAATAATAATAATTTATTATTTATACCCCACCCATCTGGCTGAGTTTCCCCAGCCATTCTGGGCGGCTCCCAATCAAGTGTTAAAAACAATACAGCAAGTAAATACCAAAACTGAGCTTCATGACACAAACATGTCTGATATTTTCTGCTGGATTTTCTATCAATTTAAGAATTGCCAGTGAAATGTTTGGCAGTAAAAGTCACCAAATTCTGGATATTTACTGTAACTCACAAGCACGATCAGACATGGCAACCTGAGGCAGCTGAAACAGAAAGCTTTAAAGAAAGGTTTGGACTGCATGGGTAGGCAAACTAAGGCCCGGGGCCGGATCCAGCCCAATCATCTTCTAAATCCAGCCCGTGGATGGTCCAGGAATCAGTGTGTTTTTACATGAGTAGAATGTGTCCTTTTATTTAAAATGCATCTCTGGGTTATTTGTGGGGCATAGGAATCTGTTCATTCCCTCCTCCCCAAAATATAGTCCGGCCCCCCACAAGGTCTGAGGGACAGTGGACCGGCCCCCTGCTGAAAAAGTTTGCTTACCCCTGGTTCAGAGTAATGACAGTGAGATGAGAAAGGAGAAGGCCACAGTTCAGTAGCAGGGCTCATCCTTCACAGGCAGGAGGTCCCTCGTTCAATTCCTGACATTTCCAAATAAGGCTGAGAAAGAACTCTGCCTGACACTTTCTAACTACTCCACACAGAGCTACCGTATTTTTTGCACCATAACACTCACTTTTTTCCTCCTAGAAAGTAAGGGGAAATGTCTGTGCGTGTTATGGAGGGAATGCCTACGGGTGGCATGCCTACGGATTTTCCTCCTCTAAAAACTATGTGCGTGTTATGGTCGGGTGCGTGTTATAGAGCGAAAAATACGGTACTTCCTTTGTTACCTTAATGTTCCATACTTAGAAGGCCATTATCTCACCAGGAAGCTAGCCTGGCTATTATAGGAATTGAATCCCTACTGGATCCAGGGATTAGAAGGGAGCTCATACACACAGCCTACCTCCCCGCAACTCATAACAATACTTTTCATGGTAATAAATAGAGACCATTGGAGTGCATGGGTAAGTTCAGTACAACTTTCTTCAGAGACTAATAATCAAACCTCATAGCTTTGTATTTTGTTCCTAGAAAAACAAGCTGCACAGGGCAGAATGGTATTGAATGGTATGGAGCCCCTATCACTGGATTAATATTGGGCATTTGCACCAACTGTACAGTATACTTGATTACCTAGAAGGCCTCGCCCATCCCTCCTAGAAGACTCATAGATCAATATTCTAATTGCATGGTATACAGCTCTTGGAAGAAGAGCATAAAACAGCAAATAGACCTCTATTCATTTTCCTGTGTTTTCATTTTTAGCACATGCATTTCTGGGCAGCTCTGACTAATAATAGCTTACATTTCTTTAGGGTTCTATTTCCTCCACAACAGTTATTGCTTCTTTTGAATCCTCCATAAGCAGATATTTCCAAGAATGCATACACACACAAAACCCTCCCAAACCTGCTGCAACTTTTAAGCTTATTTTCCATATATTTATAGCTTTTACTTTACAAAGTCCCTTCCCTTAAAGAACATTCCATAATTTCTCCTTCACTAAGCTTTTTACCAAACTGCAAAAAGTCACACCCATCATCACTTCCTCCAGTAGATGCCAAAGAGAAAACACAATCTCTTTTTTCCTCTCTCTAATTCTAACTTAACTGTTTCTTTGTGCTCTTCCAACTCATTTAAGACTTTCCATGTGCACCGTTATTCCTTTCAGAAAGCACAGGTCTGGCTCTCAAGTTCTGACTTTTGCCCTACTAGGAGGGAGTTTCTTTTAATTTGAAAGCGTTGTTAAAATCTTGCTACCATTTCCACGAAGATCATGGCCACTGGTCCCATCACCTCCTGGCAAATAGAAGGGGAAGAAATGGAGGCAGTGAGAGATTTTACTTTCTTGGGCTCCATGATCACTGCAGATGGTGACAGCAGTCACAAAATTAAAAGATGCCTGCTCCTTGGGAGAAAGGCGATGGCAAACCTAGACAGCATCTTAAAAAGCAGAGACATTGCCTTGCCAACAAAGGTCCGTATAGTTAAAGCTATGGTTTTCCCAGTAGTGATGTATGGAAGTGAGAGCTGGACCATAAAGAAGGCTGAGCGCCGAAGAATTGATGCTTTTGAATTATGGTGCAGGAGGAGACTCTCGAGAGTCCCATCGACTGCAAGAAGATCAAACCTATCCATTCTTAAGGAAATCAGCCCTGAGTGCTCACTGGAAGGACAGATCCTGAAGCTGAGGCTCCAGTACTTTGGCCACCTCATGAGAAGAGAAGACTCCCTGGAAAAGACCCTGATGTTGAGAAAGATGGAGGGCACAAGGAGAAGGGGACGACAGAGGATGAGATGGTTGGATAGTGTTCTCAAAGCTACCAGCATGAGTTTGACCAAACTGCAGCAGGCAGTGGAAGACAGGAGTGCCTGGCATGCTCTGGTCCATGGGGTCACGAAGAGTCGGACACAACTAAACGACTAAACAACAACAACAACAACACCATTTCCACATTATAACATAAGCCCATGAGCTCAGTGGTGCCATCAGGGTAGGGTAAGTCCAAGGTCTAGTAGGCATGTGTGGAGCAAGGCAATTCTTCAACTAAACTGGTTCCAAGCTGTGGAGGGCGTTATATATTAATAGGAAACCTTAAATTTGGCTTGGTAACAAATTGGCAGCTAGCTCAGACCTTTGAGCAGAGGTGTAATATGCTGATAGGATCTCACTCCAGTCAGTAATCATCGGGGCCAGTCCAATACATTTTGGTGGCTGAGGCAGACCCCAAAATGATGCACCCCTCCCTGCCAGGGAATATGGGGTGAGGGAAGATCTAAATCAGGAACAAGGGGCAGGGGGAGAGACTGACATCAGGATCTACTGCTCTGGAGAATCCTGCCGCCTGAAGCAGTCGCCTCACCTTGTCTCAAGGGTGGGCCGGCCTTGGCAATCATCCTGCAGCATTCTGCACTAACTGCAGTTTCCAGACCAGCCACAAGAAATGTCCCATATAGATTGCATTGCAGTAATCCAACCCTGAAGTTACCAGTGCCTGGATTACTGTGGTCTAGCTAGGCTGGCCCAGGAATGGTCGCAGTTGTTGCAACAGCTGAAGCTGATAAAAATTGCATTTGTGTAATTAATATCACATCTAGTTTGGCTCTCGGGCCATTAAGAAGAAGGTTTCTGTAGAGAATCAAGAAAAGGACAGAATCCTGAAAAGAACTTTATAGACCCAGACTGTGGACCCTGCTCAGCTGGTACGATTCAGAACCACACTCTCAGCATCTGTTGTGGTGGTGGTGAATAAGAACAGAAAGCTAGCAACTTCCTCTTCTTGGTGGCACAGAAATAGGGATGGGGAGAGAAATTCAGTTCTATCTGCATTTAAAGGTGAGGCAAACCAATACACAAACTAATTCACACTTCCCAAACCAATACGCAAACATTTGCAAAAATGTGTTTTTTAGGCAAAACTGCACTTAGACACACGTATATTGGGAAAAATTTGCACTAAAATGCTGAATAAATTACAAACTGGTGTGGAAAACTGAACTTAATATTGGGAAATATGAGAAACTGAGAGCAATCGGAAGTGACAGAGTCACCCACTGATATCAGCAACTGAGGGTAGGTGAAGAAGGGAGTGTGTTCATTCTTCAGCACTGAGGATCAAGCTGGAAGTATCATAAACTGGTGAGCTATGCTATGTATTCTGAGCTAAAAATAAAGAAATTAAAATTCATCAACATGATAACCCAAAGTTTTGTGCCAAGAAAAAGCAAAGAACCTGTAAAGACTCTTCAAATTAGCATAATTTTTCTCATTTGTGTTGCATCTTCTACCATTTTGCATGATGTATTCTGTATAATGTATTTATAAAGAACTGGGAAGTACAAGAGGCTATGCACCACAGTGAAGAGGCATCCTTGATCCCTAGAAATCTTGTTCAGCCCTCTCAGTGGCTTCACTAGACAGTGTTCATAATGCAGGCCTGCCCAAGCCAGCCTGTCTCTTTAAGATTGCCAAGGCTCTCTAGCCCGCCATCACTTACAAGCAGAGAACTTGTGTATCCTTTCAATAGACTAAATACAAAAATGGGTTCCATCGATCAGGGAAGGGGAAAATATAGCATCTCCCAGCTGGGGGATTCTCCAGCTGATATGACTGGTGATCCTGTTGAAGCCCTAGACGACCTCTGGGACAACCGAATGGCTCGGGCTGTTGACACAATCACCCCTGAAACCCTCTTCCATTTTGTGGAGCTTGCTTGCCTCCCCTTTGGCCTCTTGTCTTTTGAAGTCTTATTAAAACTATTAAAACTGGTTGTTAGGGTCCTTGTGTGCATTTCTGCCAGACTCAAAGGGTTATTTCCCCCTTCGCAAGCTTAGTCTTCCTGATGCAGGTGCATATAACTGGGATTTGTCAGAGAAAAGCAAGCTACTTTGGGTTCTGGTGAGAGACAAGTAAGCTCAGTGCTCTCTGGACTTCCCCTCATAAATATTTGCCTTGCACCCCCAGGTTTCACTTCTGCATGGGGTTAGAGGGAACATAAGGGAAGTGTAGGGGCAGGCTACCAGAGAGTCCCTTGCTTGACTGGCCTACCCAGACTCACAGTCATGGCAGGAGTGAAGCAAGAGTTCCCCTTACATTATAGTGCCCGCATTCTTAAGCTTAAATGACACTTTTGAATCTGTAAGGACTAGAAACGTCTAAATAAATACAGAATTCTTAGGAAGATGACTTTTGTGAACAATGCCAAATTCTGTGGCTACCAAACAACAACAACCCATACAGAACAGGCAGAACAGCAGGGAATTCTTCCTAGAGGTGGTGTCCTGAGCACATCCAGCCCAAGTGGCTGGTAGTTTTCTTTATTGACAAAGCATGAACTTGCAGGAGCTCCCAAGGTGCACTAAACACACACAAACATGTTCCTGGCGGCTAGGTAGCTCTTACACAGAAGTTGTCGCTGTGTTTGCCTCTTCAGCCCGCCCCCCCCGGTCCTGGGGGACAGTGGGGTGGTGGTGGAGGGGATTCTGCCAGCCCCCTCCCTTCATGCACTGTCTCTCCCTCAGCTCCTGGCACATCCTGTCCTTCCTCCAGCTTCGGCTTCTGTCCTACATCCTGTACCTCCTTCCCCGTCTCCGACTGCTCAGATCCATTCTCCAGCTCTGGCTCCTGCCTCGTGGGAGGCACAAAACCCAATAAAGTGCCACTCCATTCCCTTAGATCAACCTCTGGCTCCAATCAGCAGTGGAGGAAGCCACTTGGGCGCCAGGGGCGCCCCACCCATAGGGACTTCGGGAGTCTGCCTGCCTCCTCCCACTCAGCCACCCTACAGCTGGGGGGGGAGGCAGCAGGCGGACTGTTTGGGCAGGGCAGAGAGACGTGTGGCTCAGGTGCACTGCAGGCCCCGCGGTGAGTGCCACCTGGCATTTAGTCACAGTGGTGACACCCAGTGTGGCCCACACCTACCGCACCCCCCTTCCTCTGCCCCTGGCTCCAATACCTCTTTCACCCACTCCTCAGAGCCCTGCCAGTCCCTGACAGGTGGAAATACCCGGAGACCTCAAATCTTCATGCCTGTGGTTGATTCCAGACAACCAGTTTAAAGAGCATTCATTCTGATTTGTTTGCAGGGAGGTTAGATGACATTGTGTCAAAGTGCATTTTTCCATCACTTTCCGTGTTACAAAGAGTGCTATCTGTGGGGGAAGAGAGGTTTTTTTAAACAAGCAGATTTAATTGCATGGCCTGAATTTGCTGGGATGATTGAATCCCATCCCCAAATAGTGAGAGTCTGGAAATGCCCTAGGTGCCATTAAAAGAAGAAAGAAGAAGAAGAAGAGTTTGGATTTGATATCCCGCTTTATCACTACCTAAAGGAGTCTCAAAGCGGCTAACATTCTCCTTTACCTTCCTCCCCCACAACAAACACTCTGTGAGGTGAGTGGGGCTGAGAGACTTCAAAGACGTGTGACTAGCCCAAGGTCACCCAGCAGCTGCATGTGGAGGAGCGGGGAATCGAACCCAGTTCACCTTGTCTTTAATGGTTTAAACGGAAATGAAAATTCAAAGTGCTGGTTTTGACCTATAAAGCTCAGGACCCCAAATACCTCTCCCCATATGAACCAATCTGGACCCTGCAGTCATCATATGAGCAGTGGCGTCACAACGGGGAGGGGGCGCCCCGGGTAACATGTCTACGGGGGTGACAAAAAGTCACCCTGCAGGGGCTCGCGGCG